AAATGGGCAGAGGACATGAATAGACATTTTTCCAAAGAAGATACACAAGAAATACATAAAAAGATGCTCCACGTCACTAATCATCAGGGAAATGCAAATCAAAACCACAGTGAGATACCACCTCAGGCTAGTCAAAATGGCTAGAATCAAAAAGACAAGAAATAAGTGTTGGTGAGGATGTGGAGAAAAAAAGAATTCTCATGCACTGTTGGTGGGTATGTAAATTGATACAGCCACTGTGGAAAACAGTATGGTGGGTCCTCAAAAAACTAAAAACGACATACCATATGATCCAGTGATTCCCAAAGAAAACTAAAGCACTAATTCAAAAAGATATATGCATTCTTATGTTTATTGCAGCATTATTTACAGTAGCCAAGATAGGGAAGCAACCCAAGTGTCCATTGATAGATAAGTGGATAAAGAAAATATGGTTTAAAAAAAAGATATGGTATATACATATACAGTGGAATATTACCATAAAAAAGAATGAGATTTTGTCATTTTGTGACAACATGGATGGACCTAGAGGCTATTATACTAAGTGACAAAGGGCAGACAGAGAAAGAGAAATAAGTCACAGGAATGAAAAGTACAGCAGAGGGGATATAATCAGCAATATTGTAATAACTTTGGTAACAGGTGGGAACCAGACCTATTGTGGTCATTTTGTAATGTATAAACTGTCAAATCACTATGTTGTATACTTGAAGCTAATATACTGTTGTATATCAAAAAGAAAAAAAGCGGGGTGCCTGGGTGGTTCAGTTGGTTAAGCGTCTGCCTTTGGCTCAGGTCATGATCCCAGGGGCCTGGAATCAAGCCCAGTGTTGGGCTCCTTGCTCAGCAGGTCTGATTCTCCCTCTCCCTGACCCTCCCTCTGCTTGTGTGATTTCTCTCTCTCTCTCTGTCAAATAAATAAAATCTTAAAAAAAAAAAAAAAAAGGTATAGTATTCAAAACGGTGTGGTAACTGGCAAAAAGATAGCCATAAAGATGGACCAATTGAATAGAACTGAAAGTCCAGAAATAAACCCATGTATCTATGGCCAACCCATGTATCTATGGATTTCAACAAGGGTGCCAAGAGCATTCAGTAGAGAAAGAGTAGTCTCATCGATAAATGGTGCTAGAATAGCTGGATATCCACATGCAAAAGAATGAAACTGGACCCCTACCTCACACTAATTATAAAAATTAACTCAAAATGGATCAGTGACCTAAATAGAAGAGCTAAAGCCATAAAACTCTTAGAAGAAAACATAGGAATAAATCTTTATGACTTTGAGTTTGGCAATGGATTCTTAGATGGGACACTAATAAGAATGAGCAACAAAAGAAAAAGTAGGTAAATTAGACTTTCAACAAAATAAAAAATTTGCGTATCAAAGGACCTTATCAAGAAAGTGACAACTTGCAGAATGGGAGAATATATTTTCAAATCATATCTCTGATAAGGGTCTAGTGTCCAGAATGTATAAAGAACTCTTATAACTGAACAAAAAGACGCAGCCAGTCTTTTTTAAATAGGCAAAGGACTTGGGGCACCTGGGTGGCTCAGTCGTTAAGCGTCTGCCTTTGGCTCAGGTCATGATCCCAGGGTTCTGGGATCGAGCCCCACATCGGGCTCTCCGCTTGGCAGGGAGCCTGCTTCTCACTCTCCCTCTGCCTGCTGCTCCCCCTGCCTGTGCTCACTCTCTCTCTGTCAAATAAATAAATAAAAAATCTTTTAAAAAAATAAATGGGCAAAGGACTCAAACAGGCACTTCTCCAAAGAAGATATGTAAATAACCAGCAAGCATATGAAAAGATGCTCATTAGGAAAATGCAAACCAAAACCACAATGAGGTACCACTTCACATCCCCTAGCATGGCTATAAATGAGAAAGAAAATACAAGTGTTGGCAAGGATGTAGAGAAACTAAAACTCTCATATTGCTGGTGAGAATATAAAATGGCTCAGCCGCTGTGGAAAACAATTTATCAGGTCTTTAAAAAGCTAAACACAGAATTACCATCTGACCCAGCAATTTTAGGTATATACCTAAAAGAATTAAAAACAGACCAGTGTATGTACACAAATGTTCTTAGCAGCGCTATTCACAATAGCCAAAAGAAAGAAACAGCCCAAATGTCCATCAACAGATGGATAAACAAATTGTGGTATATACATACACTGGATCGACCATAAAGAGAAAGGATATTCTGACACTTGCTACAACATAGATTAACCTTGAACACACTGTACTAAGTGCAGTAAGCCAAATACAAAAGAACAAATACCGTATGATTTTACTTATATGAGGTACCTAGTGTAGTCAAATTCATAGAGACTGGAAGTAGATTAGAGGTTACCAGGGAATGGGAAGAGAGGAGGAGGAGTTATTGTTCAATGGGTTATATAAACAGAGTTTATATTGGTGATAATGAAAAAGTTTTGGATAGATAGTGGTGATGGGTATACAGGATTGTGAATGTATTTAATGCCACTGATTTACATTTACAGATGGTTAAATTGGTAAATATTCCACAAATTAAAAAAAAAAAAAAAACCCAAACCAGGGATATCATTACTGTTTCTCTTTCCTCTAATACACCATTAAAATTCCAAACCTACCCCTGTAAGATGGAGCTTCAGCTCCATTTTAGACCTTGAACCCTTGTTATGAATAAGGACTCTTTAAGATGCTGTCTTTAAAATATATTTCATCAGGCGCCTGGGTGGCTCAGTCGGTTAAGCGACTGCCTTCAGCTCAGGTCATGATCCCAGGGGCCTGGGATCGAGTCCCACATCGGGCTCCCGGCTCAGCGGGGAGCCTGCTTCTCCCTCTGACCCTCTCCTCTCTCATGCTGTTTCTCTCTCTCTCTCACTCTCTAATAAATAAATAAATAAAATCTTTAATAAATAAATAAATAAAATAAAATATATTTCATCATGAAGGGAAGTAATCGCTTTTGCCCCCTAAAATGAAATCATGTATACCTCTATGTAATGTAGTATAACTAAGGAATTTGAGGCTCAGAGAGATGGTCCTATCCAGCCACATGGCTGGTAAGTAGAGAGCTAGAACTTTGATTTTAAGTTGTTTTACTGCTTCACTGTCTTGTGCTAAGTCATCACTCCCTGTGTTATGTTAATGACACTTTCAAAGCTAAGAAATTGGTTCATTTCTCCTAACAACATAGTTCTCAAATTTTCCTTTCCAAATACCATGATGAACAAATAGTATGATAGTCACTCAACTATTTGTCCTTATGAAATTTATACGTTGGTTCTTTCATTAAGCACACCTTTTTCTTAGCAGCAGTATTTCTGTCAGAAAAGTTACATCCAGGGTCAATTATAGAATCTCCATTGGCTCCTTCCTGGCTACACTAGAGTATGAAAAGGTAAAGCTATTTTTAGGACTCACCAAGGGCCTACTTTTTGTGTACAGTGAAGATGTTACTCTGTCTTCCTTTATCAGTCCTACTTTTATTAGGAATTAACCTTCCTTATGAACCTTAAATGTGAAGACATCTTTACCTTTCTACTTAGGACTTCAAACACTGCCAACCATTTGGTGTCCTTCATAGGGACCCTGTGGGCCATTCCATTTTGAATATTTTCCCTTCCAGATAGAGGATATTGGTCTCCCTGAATTCTTCATAGAAGGCAATGTTATGTAGTAGAATAACATTGATATCAGGTTAGCCCACCTGGATTTACATCTTTGCTTTAATAGCTTTGTCACCTTGGACAAGTTATTAGTTTGTTTCTGTAAAATTCGGATGATATTTCTAATTATGGAATTGTTCTAGGAATGAAAGAGCTAATGTGTATAAAGTGTCAATACAATGAATATTAGCTTTCTTTTCTCTCTGCTCCCTGTGGTTATATCCCTCAGTGCAATAGCTGTAGCTTTCAGGAACAGCTTGAATACAGTGCAGTCACCTGGACCTCAAAGGTAATTTTTTTGAAATAAAATTCCTTGAACATAGAGTCCTTCTGACTTGGTTCTGTTTGATTGTGCAACCCTAAAGAAGCCAGTCTCAGTTCATCTTTCCTCCCTGCGTCTGGGCCATTATTCACCTGTGGTCAGAGCAATCAAGGTCATGTCTTTTGTCTTTCAGAATACTTCGTATTGCCAATAAAACTTCCTCATTTCTATCCGTATGTCCCATCTTACTTGTGGCTTTGGAAATTGAAAGCCCCTCCCCCCCCAAGCAGTTCTAAACTGAGCCACCCTTGGTAGTTACTTCCCTGTCTTATCCTCAGAAGAACTCTAAAAAGGAACATTTGGGAGTTCCCAATAAATAGCCTGAGGTGAGAACCACTTCTTTCCAGCTGAGCAGGGTTGAGTACTCTAGGGCTAAAAGCATCCCAGAACTAGATGACAGGAGAGCAAATTCTTGTTACTTCTGAAAAATAATCTCACTGATGAGTAAGTCATTCCTCTGAAATTGTCTTTATTTCTTCTTTATTTTGTTCCCTGAAACAAGTCTTTACTCTTAAATATTCATTGCACTACAATAAATGTCCACTTTCCCTGTTTACTATGACCTCCAGTTGACTACCCACCAAAAAAGTCAAAATAGAGAGCAAAATTAAAAGCTCACTGGTCAGGATTTATGGACAATCCTTGGAAGTGCCAGGGAATACTGTAAAAATGACTACACCTTTACCTCCGCTATTGAAAATAGATTTTATAAGGGAAAATGTTGATATTAGGAAACTGAGGAGGGCTTTAAAACTACCAAAAAACCTCTAGAAAAGAGTATACAATTAATTTGATTTTCATACTATATTATTTTTAGGAAGTGGAACCATTTTGGAGAAGAATGGTGGACAGCAAGAAATAATATATAATATAATATCATTGATTATACTGGAAGAGCTTTAAAATAAAAAATAAAAGAAACTTTAAAAATAAGAAAATACTTTTTTCAGATCTCTCATTTTTAAAAAATTATTTCTACCAGAGATAAAGAATGCCATTTGTTTTTGTCCGTATACTTTAGGATAGTAAATGAGCAGCTACAGAGGTCACTTGATGATTGTCAGCACCGGCTGTCCAAGAAAAGAGGTGAACTTGAATCAGCCCAAGCCCAAATTAACATACTGGAGGAAAAAATAGGTAAGTGTTTTTAAATTTTGCTTTTGCTAAACCTAATTTACTTTGTCTAATGAACATTTCTCTTTATTCATAGGTAAACTGCACCTTCAGATGACTTCGCAGAATGAAGAGGCTCATGTGATGAAAAAGACCATTGGTGTTATTGACAAAGAAAAAGACTTTCTTCAGGAGACTGTAGATGAGAAGACAGAAAAGATTGCAAACTTGCAAGAAAACCTGGCTAGTAAAGTATGTGACTTTTAAATACCTTTATCCGGCATCTCAGCAGAAACAATTTCATTCTCTCTCTCAAATATGCAATTCTTACCTCCATATGCAAGTTCCTAAGACCCAGAGCCATATCTTCTAATATTCTTAAATTTCATTTCATGCCAATAATTCGGATCTGCAAAAATTCTATTTATAGGGGTGCCTGGGTAGCTCAGTCAGTTAAGCATCGGACCCCCGATTTCGGCTCAGGTTATGATCTCAGGGTTGTGAGATTGAGCCCTGTGTTGGGCTCCGCACTGGGTGTGGACCCTGCTTGATATTCTCTTTCTCCCTCTGCCCCTGTTCCCCAGCTGTCATGGGTTCATGCACTTTCTCTCTCAAAAAAAAATTCTATTTATAGAACGTAATTTTATCAGATGTGATTATAGCAGACTCAAGGAAACAATTCAGATTCTTAGAGTGGGTAGAAACATGCCAATATGTGAAGTACAGTTGGGACGTAGAAATGTTTACTTTAAAACTTTCTTTTATAGCATAATTTATATAAACGTGATAAATTATAAATTCAAGCAAAGACATTTTTATATGAATGTTTTAGAATCCTATATTTTCATAATTTCTGTAGGAAAAAGCTATTGCTCAGATGAAGAAGACAGTCTCAGAGTATGAATCTTCTATGAAGTAAGTAATCAATGAAATGGCATCCAGCTCTTTAAAGAAATTTTCAGTAAGAGCAGTTTATGTCTTTAAGTAGCAATTTGACAATGGGAAAATTTCCTTGTTCAGTTTTGCCTGTGACAGCATCTGAATCTATTACATGAACATGCCATCCTCTTCAACTTTCTCCCCTCCTCCATCATCAGCATCTCAACAGTTATGTCTGATTCATGATTCTTTTACATACCTATTTGCTTTTTATTTCTACTATAATTACTCTGTTCAGACCCTAATCATTAAAACTTAGATTACTTTAGTAGCCAGTCTGGAATTTGTTCTACATCAAAGCCTATCTTGAACAGTTACAAAATTTTTCATTTTATGTCTCGTCTCTACTTAAAACAAAAGTCACTAATTATTATTTTATATACCTTACACATTTCATAGTAGTGGGGACTTAAGTAACATTTGCCAATTCAATCTATTATGTTTTGCTCCTAACATTTGAAAGCCCTCTATTTAAAAAGAAAAAAAAAAAGTCCTCTATTTTTCCTTGACTTTTGGAATTATAAATTTATTTTATGACTATTTCTAAATAATGTTTGGTAGAGATCTAAAATATCTGCTTTACCTAATCAGTATCTTAAGGCAGTGTGGTTTCTTGTATTCTTAGTATACCTAATTCAGAGTACAAGTTTTCTTTTAAATGATTTACAGTATTCCAAAGAGCTTTCTTTATTATTTCCACATCCCTCGTATTAACAGCCAGCTAAAGGAAACGTTGACGAATCGGGACCGAGAAATAAGCAGCCTCCGGCGCCAGCTTGATGCAGCTCACAAAGAACTTGATGAGGTAGGAAAATCTAAAGAAATGTCTTTCAAGGAAAACAGAAGATTACAAGATGATCTGGCTACAATGGCAAGAGAAAACCAGGTATGAGCACAATGCATAAACTTTGATTGTTTTACAGTATATTCATTCTTTGCTAAATTTTAAAGCTCTGAATATGTTTTTTAAACATATTGATGATCTAAATATCAACAACATAAATAATTCTTTGAGGAGAATGGAATTTATAAGAGTATTTAAAAAATGTGGTTTAGAACGCTCCTGTATTTCACAGCGTGTCTAATTGATCGACCATGGTCTCCGTACCATTTTGGTCTGTGTTACAGGGAATCCTAAAGCTGAGAGCGTGGTTTTCTCTGTGGGAGATACCATTGTCACCCTCAGCCTCACTCCAAGGGCAAAGTGATGTGTTATAAAGACCCAGTATAGATTTTAATTTTTCATACTTCCTGCCAGCAGCTTAGGGATATACCTATAAGTAAATTAATGACTATTTTAGAATGGCAGATACTGAAAAGTATTGGTTTTGTTTCTGCTGGTTTATTAAAGGATTATACCAAGAAGATGAATGGTTTTCCTGTTTTAAATATTTTAAATTTTTTAAAAATTACTTTTAGTATTCAGTATACAGCATATTGCCGATATATGAATTTTTAAAAATGTCAACCCATGAGCATAGCTAGCCCCATAATACAAATGCCAGATACATGGTCAAGACTATTGTGGGAGATGGGTGGTAATATATGATTAAAAAGTCGAGGTCAGGAAAAACATGTGAAAATAACTCTTAGGAACAGTTTTCCTTTTTCCTACTCTTATTCCCCCAATTCAAAAGGAGCTATTTGAATATAAATATAATTCATTATTAAGTGCCACATTCATTGTAGATTTATCTGTCTTCAATTTTCTGATTTATAGGAAATCTCACTGGAATTGGAAGCAGCAGTGCAAGAAAAAGAAGAAATGAAGAGTAGAGTTCATAATTACATAACTGAGGTGTCGCGATGGGAGAGCTTAATGGCTGCTAAGGTAAAAAAACATGATTTAGGTTGGATTTCAGATTGATATCTAAAAAATATTTTCATGTGTACTTATTCTGTCTCATTTATATATTTATTTTTTCTGTCTCCTCTCTTAGATATTAAGATATGAGAGTGGAGATCTTGCCTACTGTATTTTTATATTTCCCCCTAGATCTTACTTAGTATGCTAATAGTGTATGCTCCCTAATTAAAACAAAAATCCCAGTGTCTATATATGTTTATGATATGAGTATTCCAGTGGGTGACAGTCACTAATTCAGAAACAATTTAATTTTGCTTAAAACCAGGAAAAGGAAAATCAAGATTTGTTAGATAGATTTCAGATGCTTCATAACCGTGCTGAAGACTGGGAGGTCAAAGCCCATCAAGCTGAGGGAGAAAGCAGCTCAGTTCGACTGGAACTTCTTTCTATTGACACAGAGAGGAGACACCTTCGAGAAAGGGTGGAGCTATTAGAAAAAGAAATTCAGGAGGTAATATATTCATTTATCTTGTGATGACATTATTTACTAAAACAGTAGCATTCAAAGATACTTTATTGAAGTGAGATTTAAGCATTGATAACATCAAGTTCAATGTAATCTTTTATCAATTCTGATAATTTGCTTAGGAGCCCCATTACTTTTTTTTTAAACTGTAGTAAAATATGCATAGCATCAAATTTACCACTTGAACCGTTTTTAAGAGTACAGTTCTCTGGCAGTTAGTAACTTCACATTGTTATACAGCTGTCACCACCATTGCCAGAACTTTTTCATCTTCCTGACTGAAACTCTGTACCCATTAAACACTAACTCCCCGTTCCTCCCCATTCCTCACTTTCACACCGCCCTCCCTCCCCATCTCAGCCCCTGGCAACCAGCATCCTACTTTTTCTCTATGAATCTGACTATTCTTTGTACCTCATATAAGTGGAATCATACAATATTTGTCTTTCTGTGACTGGCTTTTTTCACTTAGGCTTAAGGTTCAGTTAACCTCAAGGTTCATGTATGTTGTAGCATGTGTCCAAATTTCATTTCTTTTTAAGGCTGAATAATATTCCACTGTGTATATATGTCACATTTTCTTTATCCATTCGTCTGTTAGTGGACATTTCATTTGTTTTCATCTGTGGCTACCAGGAATAATGCTGCTACGAACATGAATGTACAATATCTATTCAAGTTCTTGCTTTCAGTTATTTAGGATATACCTGGAAGTGAAACTTTTTATGTTTGATTTTTTTCAAAAATTGCCATACTTTTTTCCTTTTTTTTTTTTTTAAGATTTTACTTACTTATTTGACAGAGAGAGAGACAGCGAGATAGGGAACACAAGTAGGGGGAATGGGAGAGAGAGAAGCAGGCTTCCCACTGAGCATGGAGCCCAATGCAGGGCTCAATCCCAGGACCCTGGGATCATGACCTGAGCCGAAGGCAGCCGCTTAACTGACTGAGCCACCCAGGCACCCCAGCCATACTTTTTTCTTCAAGGAAAATTATAACAAACATAAAAATATTAAAGTGGCTTTGGAATTTGGTAATGGATACAGGCCGAAAGAATTTTGAGGTGCTTGATCGAAAAAGCCTAGATTGCTTTGAAAAACTTGTTGGTAGAAAGATGCATATTATAAAAGGGATTCTAGTAAGGGCTCAGAAAAAAGAAAGAAGAGCTATTGACAAAACTTCTGTCATTTACAAAATACATAAATTGTCAAGAACAGAATTTTTCCAGAAATCTTAATGTTTCTTCTAGTGAGGTCTGAGATGCAATTTAGGAACATGTTATTGGACACCAAAAGAAAGGTGATCCTTGTTATAAAATGGCAGAGAACTCAGCTGAATTAATTATGGTCTACTCTTGGAAGGAAAGTAGAATTTTTTTTTTTTTTTTTTTGAGAGAGAGAGAGCGAGCATAAGCAGGGGAGGAGCAGATCTGGTGTATGTATATACATATATATACAATGTGTGTGTGTATATATATATACACACGTGCACACGCGCACACACACAATGAAATATTACTCAGCCGTAACAAAGAACAAATCTTTTCATTCTTGCCATTTACAACATGGATGGATCTAAAGGGTATAATGCTAAGCAAAATGAGAAAGACAAATACCATATGATTTCACTCAAATGTGGAATTTAAGAAATAAAACAAATGAACAAAGAAAAAAGAGACAAACCAAGAAACAGACTCTTAACTAGAGAACAAACTAATGGTTACCGGAGGGGAGGTGGGTGGGGGGAGGGGTGAAATAGGTGAAGGGGATTTCGAGTACACATATCATGGTGAGCATTGAGTAGTATATAGAATTGTTGGGTCACTATATTGTACATCTGAAACTAATATAACACTGTATGTTAAGTATAGTAGACTTAAAATTCAGGAGGAAAAATGGAACCAGGTCTTGATGATTTGGAAAATTCTTAGCCTATCCAGACAGTGTGCTCTGGAGACAGGGCCAAGTGTGTGGCTCCACAGCTCCTCTGTGAACACATTAGGTCTGTGACTCACGTGGCCAGTCAGTCATCTCAGGAGAAATACTGCCAGCTTGTACTCACAGGGACGAAAACAAGGTGAAATGAAGGAAGGCTGTTGAACATCTGGGATCCTACCAGCAGAAAGCAGGCTAGTAGGGTTACTTGACTAAAAATACCAGTTCTCCTTAGAGAAAAAGGAAGAGTGGCTCTGTAGGTATCTCAGAGGCTGACAGGGCTGCTGCTGTCACCACCGGCCCAGGGGATATTGCCTTCTTGTTCCAGGTGCAGGGCCACTGCCCCTGAGGGCCAAGAGGGTGGGGCTGTAGCTGAGGGTTGAGAAGGTGGGGCCACCCTAGCAGGCCCAGAAGGCAGCCCATCAGGGCACAGATAATTATTCTTAGGCCTTAAAACCGAATGGAATTCTCCTTGCTTGGTTGCAAACTTACTTTGGACTAGTAACCCTTTCATTCCTTCTGTTTTCTCCCTTTCAGAGTGGGCATGTCTATTCTGTGCTTGTTTCGCTATTGTTTTTGGAAGCAAATAACTTGTTTACCAGTGTCACAGATCTCGGGAAGGAAAGTAGTTTTGCCCCTGGATGGACCATACTCAGAGTTTTACCCGTATCTAATTTAGATGATGCTTAGATGAGATGTTGGACTTAGAATTGATGCTAGAATGTTGGCATGGAGTGACTATATTTTGCACAAAGGAAGGACATGAATTTTGGGGAGCTAAAGGGTGGATAGAATTATGGGCCTTAAGTTATGTTGAAATCCTAACCCCCAGCACCTGTGAATGTGGCCTTTTTTGGAAATAGGGTTTTTGCAAGTATAATCAAGGTAAGATGAGGTCATACTGGACTACGGCAGGCCATAATCCAACGACTGGTGTCCTTTGTAAGAGAAATCTGGAACAGAAGATACAAGGGAGAACCCCAGATGAAGACAGAGGCAGAGACTGGAGTGAGGTGTCTACAAGGCAAGGAACACTAAGGATTGCTAGCAGCCACCAGAAGTTGGGAGAGAGGCATTGAATAGATTCTCTCTTAGAACCTCCAGAAGAAGCCAGCTCTGCTAACATCTAAATTTCAGACTTGTAACCTCCAGAATTGTGACAAGAAATTTCTGTTGTTTAAAACCACCCAGTAATTTGCAGGGATTGGTTGCAGCAGTGCTAGGAAACTACCCTCTCTCTCTGAGTTTTCCTGTTAAGAGTATAATAACTGAAGGAATGCTTTCAACCTTCAGAAAAATTCTCAGAAGAAACTGTTCTTTAATTTTTTTGTTCTATGTCATTGTTTATGTTTTTATGTGGTATATAAAATTGACTTTTACATATTTATATTTAGGTTTAGGGAACTTTGATTTTAAATTAATTAACTTGGAAAATCCAAATATTTACTTTTATGTAACTGTTGAAATTTATTAAATCTTCACAGCACAGTTAGATTTTTAATGTCAACTTATTTCATTATTACCTATTAAAATAATTTTATTTTTCAAGTATGGAAGTCTTATTAAACTCTATAGTAGAGTTTATATCAGTTTGTATTTATCACTCAGTTTAAATTGAGAAACTTAAAATGTGGACTATTCTAGAAAAAGCTGTATCAGTATTTCAAACTTTATTATTTCAGTTATTAAAATCTTATAAAGTTGTTTATTACTATTAGGTTAAATTAAGTTTAAGTACAACTTCAGGTATTTCGTTTTAAAGCAAACTCCATTTGAAATTTAAAATTTAAAGACAGCTAAGGAGTGATTATATATATGTTACTTTTTCTTGAGAAGGTATTACAACAATTTATAAAGATAAAATTTAACCTAACTGCAAAGATCCCTCTTGTTCACCCTAAAACAATAATTTTCATTTTTGTATCTTCCAAATATATACATGAGGTACTTAGGTACTGTGGCTAATAATTATATACAATTCATTTGGTTAAGCATTAAATAGGCCACCTTTAAATAGCAGGCAGCTTCCTGAGAGTATCTTAAAATATGCAAAAATTGGCTCTCATATTTGCATAAAAGGAGGTCGTGGCTGCACAGACTCAAGCCTTTAAGATTATTGGGTTATTTCAACTTTTTACCGGTTTCTTTTTCTACTTTCAGCACATAAATGCACATCATGCTTATGAATCTCAGATCTCATCAATGGCAAAAGCCATGTCTAGATTAGAAGAAGAGCTGAGACATCAAGAAGATGCAAAAGCGGCGGTGTTGAATGATCTGTCGTCTCTTAGAGAACTTTGCATTAAGCTTGATTCAGGCAAAGATATTATGACCCAACAACTGAATTCCAAAAGCCTGGAGTTAGAGAGGGTAGGAACTTAAAAGATTTTGTTTTGTAGCACATTATTTTATTAAGCCCTCCCCTCATTGTTTTACTTTATCATGCACTGCCCAATATATTTGTTCCCCTTTAAGGAGTTACTTTTGACTACAGGATTTTGACAACTAGATTCTTTGCCAGGATTTTTCTGGCAAACATGGTGATGAAACTAGGTGCTCTCCATTTTGGAGTAGATGGATATTTAGGAAAATAGGAGTCTTCTTATTATAGAATAGGAGCCTATCCCAGTACATTTCTTTTCTCCATTTGAAGGTAAGATTTAAATGATGGATTAAGCAGTTTATTACTTCCTAAATGGAGTAGTTTTTCTTATAAAAATCCCAAGACATTTAAGGGTGCTGGGAGGCTGAGTCGGTTAAGTGACTGCCTTCGGCTCAGGTCATGATCTCCGGGTCCTGGGATTGAGCCCCAAGTTGGCTTCCTGCTCTGCGGGGAGTCTGCTTCTCCCTCTCCCTTTGCCCCCACCTCCTCGCGCACTCTCTCTCAAATAAATAAATAAAATCTTAAAAAAAAAATCCCAAGGCATTTAAGTCTTAGTTAATTTTAAAAGTCTAGTTAGCTGGAACTTCCCATTCTCAAACTGAGGCATTACTTTAAACAACCCAGTGTGTGTTTTCAAACATAGGTGTTTTCAGTTTTCATTCATTTAGTAGTATGTTTATTTTCAGGTACTGAGAAACCCCAGTGCTGGTTTGACTGTTGTCAGAGGACACAAAATAGATCAGAAGGGCTTATCCTTGCTGATAAGATGGGCCACATTTTAGGATTTTATGTTAATGACCGTCTCTTGACAAGGTAGTGTGAATGGAAACTATTTGAGGGCTGGAGTAAGTCTTGTAACAAATAAGCTCTTACTGAAAATAGCAAAAATTATTTTGAAAATAAGATGATTTTCTTACACTTAAAAAAATGGTTCAAAATCTTTAACTGGTACCCAAAACAAATAACTGATGGGTGTATAGCTCTGCAAATAATTTTTCAGAATAAGTCTAAAATTCTACTGAAGTAATCTTCCTTTGTTTTCCCTGTAGGTCATGGCAGAATTAGAAAATGCAAAATCAGAAGCAGAACTGTTAAAAAAACAACTGTCAAGTGAGAGACATACAATTAAAAACCTTGAATCATTGTTGGCTACAAATAGAGATAAGGAATTTCATTCTCATTTAACATCCCACGAGAAGGATACAGAAATTCAGCTACTTAAAGAGAAGTTAACCCTTTCAGAAAGTAAATTGTAAGTGCCATAAATCAACCTATGTAAAGAAAACAGCTTGTCAAAAATAATTTTTCAATTTTTGGTGGGAGAGGGGGATGGAAGTGTATAATGTGGAACAAAACCAAAATATCTTACTTACGTGGTGGCTGCTTTTGGAATTCAGGGGTTTACTTCAGGAGAGACATTGTGTTTGGAAATGTAGATTTGTCTGTCTTCACCATAGAGATGGCACCCATGGAAGTGAATGAATGAACTTTAGAAAAATGTCTAAATTTGAGGAACAAAGAGGAGTCAGCAAAGGAGAGAGCATTTCAGGATGGGGAGAGCCGTCTGTGTCTCTTGCTATGGACTAGGAAAAAGACTTCAAAAAGGCTGTGTGATACTACCTTTTAGGAGATTGATGATAGTCTTTTAGATGGACAGGTTTGGATATACTTGATGGAAGAGGGGAAGAAACCCAGAGCGGATAGTACAAGCGGAACAGTTTTAAAAGAAGTTAAGAAATATTTCTTTTTCGGGGCGCCTGGGTGGCTCAATCGGTTAAGCATGGCTCAGGTCATGATCCCAGGGTTCTGGGATCAAGCCCCACATCAGGCTCTCTGTTGGGCGGGGAGCCTGTTTCTCCCTCTGTCTGCCACTCCGCCTGCTTGTGCTCTCTCTCTCTGTCAAATAAATAAAATCTTTAAAAAAGAAAAAAATATTTCTGAGGCAGGAGTTAAGAAAGAGTCAATGAAGATACTTTACATCTTGATGTTATAATTCATGTCTTGTTCAAATTTATATTTCCAACATTGCTGCAGTGCCTAGCACATACTGGAAGCTCAGTTTAAATATTTGTTAAATAAATAAGATGAATGAATGAATGAAAAGGAAAACTTAGTGATAGAAGCCCCTGAAAAAAATAAGTTCCTGAAGTTGAGAAAATCTGTGTTAAAAAGTCTTGTTCTTTTCTTTTTTTGTCCTTAAGTATCACCTCCATTTGTATTTATTAATAACAAAAACAAAAATCCATAGTACTTGATTACAAAACAGCACATTTATTTATTTCTTTGATTTTTAAAATTTGTTTTTAAGAACTAGTCAAGGCCGGGAAAACACCATGCTTCGGGCTAAAGTGACACAATTACAAACCGATCACGATGCTCTGAAAAGGCAGATTTCAACTGAAAGATACGAACGGTAAGAAAAATTCTTAGCACTGGACAGTGTTTTTATTTATTCCCTATCCTATTTCAAAAAGGATTTAATATAGCTTAAAAAGAGACAACTTCCGGGGCGCCTGGGTGGCTCAGTCGTTGGGCGTTTGCCTTCGGCTCAGGTCATGATCTCAGGGTCCTGGGATCAAGCCCCGCATCGGGCTCCCTGCTCCGCGGGAAGCCTGCTTCTCCCTCTCCCACTCCCCCTGCTTGTGTTCCCTCTCTCGCTGTGTCTCTCTCTGTCAAATAAATAAAATCTTTTAAAAAAAAAGACAACTTCCTTTTAGCATTTATACAAAAGTAAATTTCTTCTGATATTTCTTCCTAAAAAGGCAACAAGTGTTGTGGAAGATAATATCCTTATAGTAAATAAAGTAGCAGGTGTTGTCTCAATGTTTTCTATAGCATTTCTCAGGGCCATATTAGGGCATTATTTGAAAGAGTATAGGTAGGGAATCAGCAAGGTAGTAAGGATTCTACAAGAACCCAAAACAATATGGTCCAATAGGAAACTCTAAATATAGATCATCAACAAAAGTGATGATGATCATAAGAACAATTGATAAGGGACACCTGAGTGGTTCAGTCGGTTAAGTGTCTGCCTTTGGCTCAAGTCATGATTCCAGGGTCCTGGGATCAAGTCCCACATCGGGCTCCATGCTCAGCAGGGAGCCTGCTTCTCCCTCTGCCTGCCGCTTCCCCTGCTTGTGCTCTCTCTCTCTGACAAATAAGTAAATAAAATCTTAAAAAAAAAAAAAAAAATTGATAAATATGTGCCAGATACCATATACCAATAATCTATTTTTATGCCTATATTAGAGGAAACCAAAGTCACACAAATAGTAAATGGTAGAACCAAAACTAAAATCAAGGTAGATCTTGTATACCTGAAACTAACATGTATGTTAATTATACTTGAATTAAAAAAATAAATACAAATTTAATGGGCACCTGGGTGGCTCAATCGGTTAAGCATCTGACTCTTGATCTCAGCTCAGATCTTGATCTCAGTGTTACGAGTTCAAGCCCTGCATTGGGCTCCATGCTGGATGTGGAGTCTACTTAAAAATTAATTAATTATAACGAATTAAAATGAAGGAAAGGCAGATCTAATTTTATATCCCATACTCTTATATACAGTGTATTCCCTATAGCTTAGTAATTTTCATACTCACTTATATTCCAGTTCATTTGCTTTATTATATTGAAAATTTGAATCCCCAAGTGTTACAAAGAGAAATGAGACCTGCTTTCACAGCTAAAATCAAAATCTAGTTTGCAGATCACTTAAGTTACTTTTCTTCCATTACTCTTTTTTTTTTTTTTTAAGATTTTATTTATTTATTTGACAGAAAGAGGGAACACAAGCAGGGGGAGTTGGGGAGGGAGAAGCAGGCTTCCCATGGAACAAATTGCCCAATGCAGGACTCGATTCTAGGACCCTGGGATCATGACCTGAGCTGAAGGCAGATGCTTAATGACTGAGCCACCTAGGCGCCCCTCCATTACTCTTTCTTGCTATGTTAATACCATAGACATCAACATTCCTGAGATTTCATTCTCAAATAGTTGGTAAAATTGCTTATCAGGTCAATTTTTTGAGTTCTCTTATTATCCATTGGCATCAGAACTTTGAGTGATATGCTATTTGGAGCATAGACAGAATTTGCTAGGAAATATTTATGATTTTAAAGAGAAATGAAGCCTGAGTAGTGAAGAAATGCATCAGTGTCATAAAAGCAGTGTTATTAATTTCTCGTAATTGGGAAGATTTAGTTTCTCAGTGTGCTAAACTGTACATACATGATGATTTCCATTTCCTAATGATGATTTAAATTTTCTTAAATCCAAGGGCCCTAAATCAAGCCCTCTTTTGCCTAGGGTTATAAGACCCCATTAATTCTTCTTTTTCCATTGCCCCTGGTCCCCAAAGAAACCTTGGCTGACATGACCATGTCTCCTTTTCCTTACCGTCCAACTAGATTATACATTCTTACACCACCCAGGGAACAATATTGGTTCTTGGGGGAATAGAGAATGGCAAAAAAAAACTTTAGGTATTACAATGATTTATAGCCCTATAAAGGGCTTCAGTACATAAATAGCGTATCTATGTATTAAAATTTCAGGGGGAGAGATAGCTAATTTGGGAGGAAGGAATATTTTTTTTTTAAGATTTTCTTTATTTATCAGAGAGAGAGAGAGACAGAGGCAGGCAGAGGGAGAAGCAGGCTCCTTGCTCAGCAAGGAGCCCGATGTGGGACTCGATCCCAGGACCCTGGGATCATGACCTGAGCCGAAGGCAGACGCTTAACCAACTGAGCCACCCAGGCGTCCCGGGAGGAGGGAATGTCTTAAAAAGTTTCTTTAGGGGGATAATAATGAAAAAAAGTTTGTGAAACACCCAACTAGGTAGAAATCCTGGATACTGAAGAACATAAGGCAGAAAGTCTAGGCCAGAGACAAAAAAGCCCACAAAAGAGGGAGCAACAGAGTCACCATGCTTTGTGGGGCTGACTCAGACACAGGGAAGGAGATCATAACAGAGAAAATAGTGATTTCACTTCTGAAAGTTTGGGAGTTGTTAGGAAGGAGGCTAGGCTTATGTGCAAGAGGAGGTGGGAAAGGAAGTGGGGTGGGGTAGAGGAGGGAACCAGCCAACTTTGAAAATCTCTATTCAGGGAGGCTTTGAACAATCTCTTATGGTACATATTCCTTTAATTGAAATCTTTTATTCAGTACTTAAAAATTATATAAGGACATAGGATTTAAATTTAGTAGAAATACACATTAATTAATTGAGAAGCTATTTAATCACCCAGTAACAATTACAGCAGCTTATATTTGTATTTCACTTTTTGGTGTAATCTCTTATTTGTTTTTTACTGACAGAGAACGAGCAATCCAAGAGATGCGTCGCCATGGTCTTCCCACACCACCCCTTTGTTCTACTCTGAGGTCTCCTTTACATTCTCCTGAACATATAAACTGTTAATTATCAGAAGGTATGTATGTAACACCAAGGACAGGCAAAACAAATCCGTAGTTATAAAAATTCAGAAAGTAGTTTTCCGCATGGGGAGAGGGGAAATTGCCTACAAGGTAGTCAGGAGGGGCACCTGGGTGGCTCAGTCGTTAAGCATCTGCCTTCAGCTCAGGTCGTGATCCCAGGGTCCTGGGATCGAGCCCCACATCGGGCTCCCTGCTCGGCAGGAGGCCTGCTTCTCCCTCTCCCACTCCCCGTGCTTGTGTTCCCTCTCTCGCTCTCTCTTTCTGTCAAATAAATAAATAAATCTTTAAAAAAAAAAAGAAAAGGTGGTCGGGAACTTTATGAGGTAATGGAATGTTCTGTATTTTGGTGATGATTACATGGGTATATATGATTGTAAAAACTCAGTGACCTGAACATTAGTTCATGCTTTTATTGTATGTAAATTATATCTCATTTTAAAAAAGAGAAGACATCCACAACAGAACACTAAATGACAGTATGAGATACCACATTTGATGAAGTGCCAAATTCAAGGTACAAATAATAGGTGGTAGAAGTGTAGACAAAGATGTAAAAATAGGAATGCACATGTCACAGTAGACTCAATCTGACAGGATTGGCAGGTTGGAAAATGATGAGGGAAGAAGGCATGGAAGGTAGAGTGGAACATACAGGCTATATTGAATGTGAGGCAAAATTAGAGATTCTATGTAGTCTTGATTCTGTGAGTCAAGGGGAGCCATTGAAGGTCCTTCTGTGTATAGGATGAATACAAGGGAGGGATTAAGATGAAAGAACTGCTCCTGGTGGATCAACTTCATATTTGGGCCATATTGGGGAGGGTGGAAATCAGAGGGAGACCAGAAAGAGATATGAAATGAACAGTATACTTAGCTCAGGATCTGTATAATAATATTGAAAGCTAGGGGCACCTGGGTGGCTCAGTTGGTTAAGCGACTGCTTTCGGCTCAGGTCATGATCCTGGAGTCCCTGAATCGAGTCCTGCATCGGGCTCCCTGCTCGGCAGGGAGCCTGCTTCTCCCTCTGACCCTCCCGCCTCTCATGTGCTCTCTCTCTCTCATTCTCTCTGTCTCAAATAAATAAATAAAATCTTTAAAAAAAAAAAATATTGAAAGCTAGGACAGATTTTAAAAAACAAATTGTAATATATATCAGAAAAGTGCTATATCCTAGTATACAGCTCAGTGAGTTTTCACAAATAGAACACACCTATGTATAACCTACACCCAGACCAAGAAACAAAATCTATCTCTCTCAGGCTCTCTCCTGGTCGTAAGCCCTGCTCCAGAAGTAACTGTCCTGTCTATTAAAAACAGATTTCTTTTGCCTGTTTTTGGACATTTTTTAAATGAAATCATACATTTCTGGCTTTTTTTCTTCTACAGTATATTTGTGAGATTCATTCATACCGTTGTGTGTATTTGTAGGCTGTTCAGTCTTGTTGCTGCATTGTGTGTACTCATTCCATTGTTGATGGGCTTCTGGTAATTTCCAGTTTGGGCTCTTACAGAGTTATGATGAACATTCTAGTACCTGTAGGTGAACAGACATGTGCATTTCCTTTGGGTATGCACTCAGGACTGAGGTTGTTTGGTCACTGGACATGCAGATGTTCAAACTTAAGTAGCTATAGCAAAGTGGTTGTAAAGAGCTAGGATACATTTGACAGAGGAAGGGCCAAAGGGATGTGCTGATTCACTGGAGATGGGAATGAATGGGAAAGAAGTATGTCAGACCCAGGGCTTGAAAGGTAGGTGACTGAAAAATGCAAGCTCCCTGACCAAAAGAGTAAAGTCAGTCTTTTTTTTTTTTTTTTTTTTTTTTTTTTTTTTTTTTTTTAAGATTTTATTTATTTATTTGAGACAGAGAGAATGAGAGACAGAGAGCATGAGAGGGAGGAGGGTCAGAGGGAGAAGCAGACTCCCCGCCGAGCAGGGAGCCCGATGCGGGACTCGATCCCGGGACTCCAGGATCATGACCTGAGCCGAAGGCAGTCGCTTAACCAACTGAGCCACCCAGGCGCCCTAAAGTCAGTCTTTTTAAAAAATATGCATTTCTTCGTCTTTTTTTAAATAGAAGTATATAGAAGATAATTAAGCATTTCTTCAATGACTCAGAATCCTCATTATGTACATTAATTATGTGCTGTGCTTTAACATACTGATGCCCCCAGGGTTTATTGGTATTTGTAGGGCCTAGGTTTGTTGTTGTTGTTTTTTAAAGATTTTATTTATTTATTTGACAGAGAGAGACACAGCAAGAGAGGGAACACAAGCAGGGGGGAGTGGGAGAGGGAGAAGCAGGCTTCCCGCCGAGCAAGGAGCCCGAGGTGGGGCTCGATCCCAGGACCTTGGGATCATGACCTGAGCCAAAGGCAGACGCTTAATGACTGAGCCACCCAAGCACCCCTGTTTTTTTTTTTAAGATTTTATTTATTTATTTATTTATTTGACTGAGAGAGACAGCAAGAGCAGGAACACAAGCAGAGGGAGTGGGAGAGGGAGAAGCAGGCTTCCCGCCGAGTGGGAAGCCCAATGTGGGGCTCATTGTGGGGCTCACTGTGGGGCTTGATCCCAGGATCCTGGGATCATGACCTGAGCTGAAGGCAGATGCTTAACGACTGAGCCACCCAGACACCCCTGTAAGACCTAGGTTTAAATGATGCCTGATTGCTGTGCTTTTGCTTTTGTGTTTGTTTGTTTGATTAGAGCGTGTATTTTCCTCTTTTCACTTTGAAGATCACTTCTCGATGCTGGCTGCAAACACTGTGTCCTCAGAACTTCAAAGCTTTGCTGTATTAATTTGAATGTGATTAGATGGAGGTTCAGCTTCTCCTTATAAAGCCTTGTAACAGCTGTGACGTATACATTTTCTCATACTAGATTCACAGCTACATATTAGATCAGGGATTGGTAAGCTAAGGTCTGTGAGCCAACTGTACTCCACTGCCTATTTTTGTAAATTTAGCTTTATTGGAGCATAGCCACAGCTGTTTATATATCGTGTAAGACTGCTTTTCTACAGTTGCTGAATTGAGTAGTTGTAATGGAGACCCCATGGCCCACAAATCTAAAATATTTACTACCTGGCCTTTCACATCCTGTGGCCTCTAGAAAATTCCGCTGTACACCCGTGAGATAGTAGAGTGAAAAAACAAATCTTTAGTTTTATGAAAATAGGCTTTACCTTATAAGACCCCCCAAAAGGGTCTTGGGGACTCCCAGAGATCCCCAGATTCTACTTTAAGAACCACTGATATAGAACATACTGGATTTCAGCAATCTCTAAAGCTGAATTAGAAAACTTTTTGTTTTGTTTTTGTTTTTGTTTTTTTTTAAGATTTTATTTATTTATTTGACAGAGAGAGACACGATGAGAGAGGGAACACAAGCAGGGGGAGTGGGAGAGGGAGAAGCAGGCTTCCTGCTGAGCAGGGAGCCCAATGCAGGGCTTGATCCCAGGACCCTGGGATCATGACCTGAGCCGAAGACAGACACTTAACGACTGAGCCACCCAGGCACCCCTGTTTTGTTTTGCTTTAAAGGTTTTTTATTTTTAAGTAATATCTACACCCAACATGGGGCTCAAACTCACAACCCCAAGATCGAGAGTAACCTGTTCCACCGACTGAGCCAGCCAGGCATCCCAAAACTTTTTAATTGCGATAAAATATATATAACGTGAATTTTGCCATCTTAACTATTTTGAAAGTGTACAACTCAGTGGCATTAAATTCACAATGTTGTACAGCCAAAACCACTATTTCCAAAACTTTTTCATCACCCCAACCAGAAACTCTATATCCATTAGGCAGTAACTCTCCAGTCGCCTGACTTTACCTCCGTAGGCCCTGGAAATCTGTAATCTACTTTTCTATGAATTTGTCTATTCTGGATTTTCATGTAAGTGAAATCATACTATATTTGTCCTTTTGTGTTGGGCTTGTTTCACTTAGGATCATGTTTTCAAGGTTCATCTATATTGTAGTGTGTGTCAGAACTTGATTCTTTTTTATGGTTGAATAATATTCCTGTGTGTGTTTGTGCCACATTTTGTTTATCTACTCATCAGTTGATGGACACCTGGATTGTTTTCACCTCCTAGCTATTGTGAATAATGCTGCTATGAACATTGGTGTATGGTATCTGTTTTAGTCCCTGTTTTCAAATCTTTTGGGAGTACCTAAGAATAGAGTTTCTGGGTCATATGGTAATTCTGTGTTTAAATAATATATCCCCACTGAGAAAACATAAAATACAAAAATATAAAGAAGGAAACAAAATCACTTCTTTTAACATTTTTTTATTGTTATAAAATATATATAACATCAAATGTATCATTCTAACCATTTTTAAGTGTGCATTTCTCTGGCAATTAGTACATTCACATTATTATGCAAAAATAATGTCCACTGTCCATCTCCAGAACTTTTTTATCTTCTTCAACTGAAACTCTTTACCCATTAAACACTAACTCCCCATCCTTCCCTCCCCCCCAGCTCCTGGCAACCACCATTACAAATTTCTGTCTCTATGAATTTGACTACTCTGTTTACCTCATATAATTGGAATCATACAGTATTTGTCCTTTTTGTGACTTACAGTGTTTTCAGGGTCCATCCAAGTTGGAGCATGTGTCAGAATTTCCGTCTTTTTTGAGGCTGAACAATATTCTGTTGTATGAATACACCACGTTTTGTTTATCCATTCGTGAGTTGATAGATACTTAAGTTGCTTCTGTCTTTTGGCTGTTGTGAAAATGGATGTACAAATCAAAATCACTTTTAATCCTACAACCCAGAGAAATTAGCAATTATCATTTTGGTATATACTTTCTTCGTGTGTTTGATGTGTAATAAATACACACATTCATAGACATATAATTCTAATAGAGATCATACTCGAAATAGTTTTTATCCTATTTTTTGTTTTGTTTTGTTCTTTGGGGTTTTTCCCCCTTAATAAATTGTTGAGAGCATCTGTTCTTTTTTTTTTTTAATATTTTTATTTATTTATTTGAGAGAAAGAATGAGAGAGAGAGAGCATGAGAGGGGGGAGGGTCAGAGGAAGAAGCAGACTCCCTGCCGAGCAGGGAGCCCGATGCGGGACTCCATCCCAGGACTCCAGGATCATGACCTGAGCCGAAGGCAGTCGCTTAACCAACTGAGCCACCCAGGCGTCCCGAGAGCATCTATTCTTACCATTGAAAGTATTTTCAAAAATGCCATTTTAAAATCATTATGTAACAGTTCATCACATGAATATTCCATGATTTACTTAGATTACTTTCTCAGTGTTTCCATTGTGGAATTTTTCATTGTGTGTGTGTGTTTGTGTGTGTTTGTGTTTTAATTGGGAGGCTGATTAAATAGCACATAAGGTTAAAATATTTGAAAAAATATTTGACTATCCATACTATGCTGTTTTAAGACTCAACACAATTTACAGTACTTGTATATTATCCTAAATGTCATATTGTTCCTCAGTTTGAGTGATTTTTCTCAATTAATATGCTGTGTTATCCCTTTCTTTTCACTATTCATTTAGTCCTCATATACTTTGATGTACTTCCGTGGTTTGAGGGGAATATCTTTTTGAAGTGTAGAGCAGTACTTCTGAGCTATTAACTATAACTTGATTATGGGCAAAGGCTTTATTGGAGACTACAATTTCAGTTAAAACTGAAAACAATCTCAGTTTTTTGTGAATGTTCTAAGTAATTTTGTCGTTTTTCTCTTAACTCACCTTTCTTGTCCGCTCTTTTTCAGAATGATGGCTATCAATGAGTTAGCTATATGGATTTTTTAAAGGACGGAACAGTAATGAAATATTTGAAGTACTTGTTCCTGAAAATCATGAACATTGACACAAATTCTACCTCTGTCAACTTTTATTTAGATCAGTGAATATTTATGTAAAAAATTTGGTTTAAAAGAGCCATATCTATGTGTATATTTTTATATATATAACAGAACAAAATATGTATTAATAGTGCTAATGTTCTATCTGTATTTATACTACTCCTGACTTAAATTACTCCTCAAAGTGTGTGTTTATACTGTGAATTAATATAATGTATTGTTCACATTATGCTTTAATAATCTTTTTCATAATGTGTATATAAATATTCTTACAGTACTTCTAACAAAGTGTTTTTAGTTTTCATGCCTGTGTTTATAACCCATATCTTTAATGCATTCACATAAGGATTATCAACTTTGATGCTATGCTCTCTCACTTAACTTTTTTCTTCTAAATGTAAAATTATTCACCAGTATGTTGTCTGTCATCCAGGGTAATATATTCAAGTCTATTCTTAAAATAGTAGAGGTCTTGATAAAATAATGATTACCATATGTAGTTTGTTATTGCTCACTTGAACTGTGATGGGAAAGATGCATTTATATATTATATACAGTATATTATTTTGGTTATCACATGGACTTTTCATATAATACAGATTCTATCAAAATCAAACTAAAAGCTGCATTCAGAATTTTGTAAGACAGTAGAACAGAAATTTGGGACACTTTTTCAGTAAATAAAATTTCTCCCTGTATTAATTGAAAATCTCAGAGTATAAAAGTATATGGAGTAAATACAGTATTCTGTTAAAATGCCAATATACATTCAGTAATAGCAGTTTTTTGCTTCTAAACCTGTGTGTTGTAATTTATGAGTCTTGCAGAATAGTAGTAAACACTGAACTGTGGCATGTTAAATAGAAAACAACTTTTTACAATTTTCAAAGTTGTAATTTTAAGGAATTTAAATATATACATACATGAATAGAAGAACAGAAGTACAAAATAGAATGTCAGATACAAAAACTAATCGTGTTTGAACCATACACATTTGAAGAAAATTCTGTTCTCTGTAGATTTCATTATGATTGAAAAAGAACTTAAGAACTAACATAGGAAAGTTGAAGAGCAGTTATTTATGATACGTTTTGTTTCCTCTTGTGCTTTACTACAGTGGAGTTTGTGTGTGTGTGTTTGTGTGTACCTGGGGGTGGGCACTGTTGTTTTTCCAAAACTAATATGCCTTATATGTTCGGGTTATGCTCTTTGCAATAATTCACTGTATATTTGGTTGTGATGTGGTTTACTTTTCTACCATCTTTGTAATTTTATGTATTCCACCTTCTTTGTGTGAATTCATGTATTATGTAGCAAAATACAAGAGAAATGGGACTATTTGCAATGTCATATGGAAAAATCTTTTAATAAATATATGTAAATAAATAAAAAATATCTGTCCCCACCTTTTCCCCCTAAGCAACAGCAAGACATACTGTGTTAATATTTTTAATGTTTTCCATAATTTAAAAATGTATAGCTTTAATTGTTATTTTCTTAACCATGTTACAATTTTTCTAAATTATTTTTATCCTGGGACGCCTGGGTGGCACAGTCCGTTAAGCGACTGCCTTCGGCTCAGGTCATGATCCCAGGGTCCTGGGATCGAGCCCCGCATCGGGCTCCCTGCTCCGCGGGAAGCCTGCTTCTCCCTCTCCCACTCCCCCTGCTTGTGTTCCCTCTCTCGCTGTGTCTCTCTCTGTCAAATAAATAAATAAAATCTTTAAAAATAAAAATAAAAAATAAATTAGTTTTATCCTAAAATACCGAATGTTCTGACCTTTTATAGATGTTTTTGTTTCAAGTAATTTTAAATTATGCTTGATATAGATTTTCCAATAAACTTTCCAGTCAATTTATTTTCTCTTTCTTACAAATAGTTTTTTCTTAAATTTTAGCAATATTCTTAATTCTAAAGTTAAGTACAATTAATTCAAATCAAACTTTATCATGATAGGATATGGGGAAGTTGCTGTGCTTATGTACCAGGTACTTTTTTTTTTACTGACTTTGATTTATTTCTAGGTAGTTCAAATATAAGAAATGAAGTCAAAGGTTGTTTGAAATCCATCTACAAAATGATTAAACAGGCTCTCCCCAGTTCTTAGATGATTTTAGCGCCTGACTTACTGTCTTTCTACCATTAGTTCTATCATCAGTCTTTTTTATGTATCTTCTTAGAACAGTGGTTATTGACCAGTCCTGCACATTAGAGTTACCTGGACAATTTTAATGAAAAACTGATTTCTGAGCCCTACACTAGTCCAAATAAGAATCTCTGGGGGTTAGGTGTGACATTTTGGTTTTGTTTGTTTGTTTAGTTTTAGGTTCTCTAGGTGATTCTAATGTGTCACCAGATTTAAAATGCTAATTTAGAAACTGATCCACCAAACTGATTTCATGACCTACTAATGGGACTCAACCTATGGTTTGAAAACACTGCTCTAGATCTTATCATTACTTCCAAAAATCTCAACTTCCAGCATGCTACTTACCCCCCTTTCTGGGTCACTCTGTCATGCCTAGCCTAACAATTCTTTGACTCTCCCAGGATCTCCAGACAATCGATTCTCTCACCTATCCTTTGTCTAGAAGTCCCTCGCTTTCCTTTTTATCTAGCATAGACATCATTTTCTTTGCATATACCCTAAATTCTCTTATCCCTCTAAACTGAAAACTCAAATCTTGTTTGTATCCAACTATTCCAACTACGCTGCATCTGTACCTAAGCAGCTGAACGGGACTAGAGAAAAAACCAACCATGTGGACTCTTTTCACTTGAAACTTAAGGCCCTGAAAATCAAGGGCCCACAGCACTGTGTGAGGATCTGTACACATTTTCCTGGTCAATTCACAATCTCTCAACAAACATTTCACACCTTCTCCTCTCAGACCTTCAGTCCTCCCTCTTTCTTGCTCTCAGGTTGTTTCCTTTTTCACTGAGAAAATGGAAACAGTAAGGAAACTTTCTCACCCTCCCAAATCTATTAACAATAGATTTGGAGACATCCGTATCTTTATAACTTCCTATTCTAACACAAACCATCTCTACCTCTAGCTATTTTATCTAGTTGTGATCAGCGTTCATTCCTTCTACTACTCAAAAGACTCCTGCATTTAACCCCACGTTCCTGAGTCATTTTGGCTCTATTGGCTTGTTCGAACTTGAGTGCATACCTTCCATTTTTAATCTCCCATTTTAAAACCCTCCCAGACCCAACCATTCCATTTTTTGCACCCTTCAGAGCAAAAAAAATCTTTAAAAGGTGTTATCTATACTCACTTCATCCCCTTTATACCCACCTTTCCTTCTTAAACTATCCAATCAAGCTTTATTCCCATTACTCCAAACCATTTTTGTCAAGGTACTAAGAACCCCTATGTGTTCTTTATTTCCTTTTTCACACATAATGTCTCCAATTAGTGCTTTTTGCTATATTTTGTTCTTACTTGATACTGCCTCTGTCCTCCTTTGAGGAAGGATTGGGGATAGATAGAGCTTTAAAAGAAACGCATTTGAAGATAAGATTAAGGACTTCTTCCAGAAGGCATCAGAAAAAGAGATTGCAAATGTAAAAGAAAAGCATTATGGAGGATGTGTGTCAGAGTGCCAACATCTAGGTAATAATGAGCCTTAGAAGAAAGAAATATTAGGAATGCAAAAACTATTTTAAGAAATAATGGACGTAAATGTCACTAAATCAAAGGATACAGTCTGAGGTCTTTATTAAAAGGGCTCAGAAAAAGCCAAGTAGGAGAGAAGGGAAAAACCCACATTTAGATACAATATTAAAGACAAGGAAAGAAATTTTAAAAGCCCCAGAGAGAAACAGTTCACCTGAAAAGGAACAAGAATTGTTGGTGAAGTCTATTTTACTAATAAAAAGAGAAGGAAGGACAAAACAAGAGAAAGGAAGGGAGGGAGGGGGGAAGGAAGGGAAGAAGGAAGGAAGGGAGGGAGGAAGGAAGGAAGGGAGGGGGGAAGGGAGGGAGGAAGGGAGGGAGGGAACAAGGGAAGGAAGGAAAATCCATAACAATTCAGACCAAAACTGGATAATGACAACATGTTAGATGGAAGAACATGAGAAGTTGAATATTTGTGTTATTGGGAGAAGATACAAATACTAATATTTCAGAAGTCAACAGGGTGAAATAACACAGCTATGAGTCTTAAAAGCAACTATCATATGACAGTAATCACTTACCTAGAACTTTATTCTTTCCAGGTGCTATTCTGAGAATTTTACATATGTTAACTCATTTAATTCCCACAACAATCATATTCTTTTTTATTCTCATTTTATAGACGAGAGCACAGGCAAGATTTGCCTGTGGACATATAACTAGTAATGGTGAATTCACTTTTAGACAATTTGTTAAGTGATTTAACATTTAAACCAGCACAAGAAAACATGATCCCTGCAGTGGAAAGCAAGAAAACAGAAAAAAAGAAAGTATATTAGAAGATGTGAAACAAGATGGCAGAAGTAAATCTTTATATAAGAGTGGCCACAATAAATGTAAGTGGATGAATTTCTTCAATTAAATGGCAGAGTCAGATTGGATTTAAAAAACAGTATGTCAGCTACAAGAGAGAGATGTTTAAAAAGACATAGAAAATTTGAAAATAAAAGGAGAAGATTCACCAGGCACATGGGAACCAAAAGAAAACTAGAGTACTAATCTTATCTGACTAGATAGGATTTTAGGGAAAAGAAAAAAGAAAAAATCAAGGTGTTACATACTGGTGAACAAGAACAACAATAGAACATAAAGATACAGCCATCACAAACACACAACTATATGTGTATATGTACATATAGAAAGTTTTGCACCCAACAAACAGAACACACATTTTCTTCAAGTACACCTCTTACATTTAAAAATAGACCATATAGGGG